GGGGAGTGAGAGCTAGGAAATCTCCATTACCTGTACTCTATTTGCTCCATATAAACTCTAGTACTTGCTTTCAAAATCTCTTCTTTGTTGAACCAATTTTGTACTTATCTCTTGTCTTTAACCAAGTTCTGTCATTAACACTAGAAAAAAGAGGGAAAGGACTGCAATTAGCAATATTCTACTATGTTATTGCTTTTGATTTAGTCTTTTAAGCTCATCTCTTCAGATTTTATTGCTTAATTAGCATTTTGTGCTTCACCTGATTGAGTAAATCCCTTTATTTATAGGCAACAATCAAAGAAGATGGTGAAAACGACTATAGTTATTGCATCTATGACTCCGACATATCAACTGGCTTCGGTATTGGTGCCTTCTTATTTCTCTTGGTTAGTCAATTAATTATAATGTTGGCGAGCCGTTGCTTCTGTTGTGGAAAGGCTTTGAGCCCTGGAGGTTCAAGGGCTTGTGCTGTTCTCTTATTCATCATATGCTGGTAAGTACAGAATATAACAAGCAAAGTACTTTTGCGGGTTCTCTTCCAATATTGTGGCCTTGTTGTAAAACAAAGGACATTGTAAAAAGCCTCTGCCCTTGTGTTTCAGGATTACATTTTTCATTGCTGAGGTCTGCTTGTTGGCTGGTTCAGTTAGGAATGCTTATCACACCAAGTACCGATCATCATACTTGATTGACGACAAGCCTGTGTCTTGTGAAACTCTGAGAAAAGGAGTTTTTGCAGCTGGAGCAGCTTTCATTTTCTTCACCAGCATAATCTCCCAGTTCTACTATGTGTCCTACTCCAAGGCTAGGGGTGGCGCCATGCCATATGCTGGAGAACCTGGTGTAGGCATGGCAGCCTATAAATGAGGGTGATCAAAGGTGGTTACGGCGTTTTATCTTTGTTAAAATAGCTTTGATTTGAAGTTTATGTATAATACGACTTTCCATTGTTTAATTGCCTCTGATTTATTGCTGTAGGAGAAAGCTTGTATTGCCATAGGGTTCCAAATGTCTTGATCTCTTCATTGCTGCATAAAATTTTTGTTCTACGTTAATATGGATTGGATACACAGAATGCGAACTTTTGTCTGTGAACATCTGTTAGATCTGAAATTAAGATCAGAACTATTTTTCCCTTTTTTAACCAAGGATAACATGCCGCGTGTGTGAGCTTGCTCACATTCCCGGTTCCAAGCCTTGGATAAAGGAGGGTTGCTGTAAACTATCAACCAGCATAAAACTAAAGAATTTATGATGAATTCTCGTAATTGAGAAATACAATCAGAATTCACATAGTCGATCCATTTTGTTTGGGAGGGAGGCGCAGAAATGGTTATATGTGACCCTCAAGCCACAGAAATGGTTATTCAATTGACATTATTTGGGAATATTAGAGAAGCTCCAACCCTGTTCCGCACACTTGTATAATTTCTCTGCGGATGGGACGCAATTGCAAATTTCTTTAAATGATCAAAGGTGATAACAGCGAGACGTTAATTTGGTGAGTGAGGCACACAATCGAAAGGCGACTAAATCTAAATTATGCTTTGTTCCCACCTAATTATATATCATATTGTATCTTGACATTGATTTTCTTCTTGTCTCAGGCTAATTGAGAGAGACCCTTACCTTACACTAATTAACCCATCAGCGTGAAACGTCTGCATGTTTAACAATTGATTGTTAACATGAAAGCTGAAAAGTCAACCTACCAAGCCTTAATGTGAATCAAAATAAGCAAAAAAGAAAAGCATGTCATATTTCATAGCACAAATTTAAAGTCAACAGTAGGGGTGAAATTCAAAAATAACTAGATTTACAAGTGATAATTGAAAATTAGTCATAGTTTCGAAAGTAATCGAAATTTAACCACTTTTCATGTAAAGATAAATCTGAACAAAAATACTGTTCAAAATTCGAAAAATATTCCAGCATAATATGTTGTAGTTCGAATTTTTTACACGTGAACTTCCAGCATTAGATGCTGGAATTTCATAATGTGTTGGAGATCCAACATAATATGCTGGAAGTTCATACAGAGATGCTCCAATCTCCAGTATATTATGCTAGAACTTTCCGTGTGCTGGAGTTCCAACATAATATGCTGAAAGTTCATATACATGTGCTCCAATCTCCAGTATATTATGCTGGAACTTTTCGTGTTGCAGCAAAATAATGGCTATTTTTCAATGGCTTTGCAAACGCTGGCTATTTTTCAACAATCCGAAAACTGGCTAGCCTGTGCTATTTTAACAAATTATGTGGACTCCAAGAATCCGTCTATTTGTTCAAGTAGGTCTGGAACTAAACTGGTTGAAGACGTTAACCGGAAACTTCTCTACTTTTTTCTTGAATTAATGTCAATTAACTTAGTACGATAATTTGTTTGTGCTACAGTTGCTAAGCCTAAACTTTAGCTAAAAGGCTGCTAATAGTTGTTAGCAATGGTATACATGTCGCTGCATGTCCACTTGGCCCAATAAATGGCATTTTGCATCTCGCGAATATAACTTGCCGGTACCAAGTCATGATTATCTCTTGTTATAATGTTGAAATAAACAATGCATCTGGCATTCCAGAGAATCGGATGGATCCGAGTCTTCATTTATGCCCTCTTCTTCTACCTTTGTTTTCCAGATTTGTGATGGTGTTTTGTGTTGTTATGGTTGGTGATTATGGTGTTTTGTGGTGGTAAAGCATGTGTGAAAATGGGGATGGGTAGTGTATATTTATGTATATATCCATTATATGTCGTATATTTCGCATATATCATGTATATATGTGTATATCCGTAAAAGATTGTGATATACAATGACTCTCTTTTTATTTCTCTTGCAACTGATGGACCTTTAAGATTTGAGTAGTAAAACTTTTATGAGAAAATACTAGACTATTGTCTAAAAAATTGTAAGTTATTACAAACGTTAGATCACAATCTAGTATTTTGTAAACAAATTGAAAATTATATGAGCAAACATTAGACCCGACTCCCGACTCTGACGTTGTTCAAAAGGAATAATTTTCCAGGGGCTATATTTACACAACTTTTTAAAGGAGGGACAAAGTCTAAGAGCCCGTTTAGATTGTCTTAAAAAAGTGGCTTCTCAGCAGAAATAGTTATTAAGCCAAAAAGCAATAAGTTGGAGTTGCCTAGCTTATTGTTTTTGGCTTGTTTTAAGCAGTTTTAACTTATTTTAAATACTTTTTAACTTTGCCAAACACTGGAAAAGTTAAAAGAAGCTTAAAAACTGATTTGACCAGCTTAAAAGCCAATCCAAACACCCTCTAAATAGCGGGGAGTACACAAACAACCATTCTTAGGCTGCTTTGTAGGGATTAGTCAGTACTTAATTTGTCTTAAAAGTTTGAACCCAAAATCTTAATTTCAGGAAGATTCAGGACAAAATATCCTGAAAATTCAACTGCAAAATTGAAATTCAGAATATATTGGCTAACCCCTAAATAACAGCCCTTTAAAGTGGCTACCTAGTACCATTAGTGGCCTAAAGGGGGGATATTTGCGGGCCTCAGCAAAGAACAAGCCCAGCTATGTTTACGAATTGCTTAGCCCATTTATTCACTTGGATTAATAATTGTACTACTGAGTATTTTCTGAAAACTCTCGTGCTTCAATCACTCATTCTGTGTCTATAAAAGAGGTTAGAGGTGTAAAGGCTAAAGTTCCCATATACATATATTATTCTGGGTCTTTTCTTTTTGTTCTTCACAAATCTGAATTAAACTAAGTGGAAATAATACTGCTATTTTCCACTGATTAATTGGACATTTTTACATATATATATGCTTCAGCTTCCTCTCTGACATTCCTCATGTATTTTCTTGTGAATCCGTCAATGCTAGTGGCTACTGGCTAGTGCCCCTTACGCTAATCCAAGAGTCGGATGGAATACTTTGCCAGTGGGTAAACTATGATTTTGCCTGTAAACATATGGATGAAAAAAGATTAAACAACGTGTCATTTAATTATACCAGCAAAATTCAATTACAAATGATCTACTACCAATGTTTGTAGGGTAGATCGGTTTTATGCCCATTACATATATTGTTTTTGTTACATGAACTTTTTCATGAGATCAATAAAATATAGCGCTGGAGATTAATAAATCAAAAATTCTAAATATTTGTTTTAAAACAAAAAGCAAGATTATTTTCTTTTATTATTATTATTCATTTTCAATAGAAAAGTATCTTTGAAAAAGCTTACACAGGATCTTAACAAAAACATTTGAAGCCCATTTTGTTTTAGAATAACATAGAAACTAGAGTTAGATATTGGTGTGATGAGATGACAACCGAAATATCTCTATTCTTAATTAATTAGAGATATCGGGTTAGAGGCTTAGAGCCTTGGAAAATAAGATTTTTTATAGGGAGCGTTTTAACCTTTTAGTGAGTCTATCCAGCGTAGAATTAGCTGAGCTAGTAAATATTCGCCCGAATACCGAATGATTAAGAGACCAAAAAAAAAGGCTTACAGCTATAATGTGTGCATACATCTTTTTCTTACTTTTTCTTTTTCATTCTACAAATCAAACGGCAAAAGGCTCTTTGTGTACTTTCTGTACAAGATGTTTGTTTACTGTCTAATTAACAAAGAGAATTTGCACAACGGTACCAAAAATTACACAGTTTCCTATATTTTTTGGAATTTTAGAAGCATTGATTTCCTAAGTAGCTGTTGAAAAAATGCTCCAACCTATAATATGTTGTAGGTATAGTGATGATAATTAAGTTACAGGCATGAATAAACAGGCTGTTTGGAATCAAGCCACGTGGTGGTGGTGTTCTGTCTGTCACTATTAATATCGAGAGCATGTTACCTCATTTGGATCAAAGTTAGCTCTATTTTCATTATTTTATGTCCATAATTAAACTGAATAATTATGCAAATAACAGGAAACAAAGCTAATAATTAGCACGACGATACCGGAGGGCTTTCCTTATTATTTGTTTCATCAGAATTTACTTGTACTCAAAGTGTATACCAAATGAAATAATATAATTATAAAAATTACAAATTAAAGTGTAAATACATGTCTAACTAAGGTGAAATAATAAATATAATTGCAAGATATATGTCTAATATTCATTTATTTAGTGTAAACAGCAAAAAATAATTTTTTTTTCTGGTCGTTTTATTCCAGAATGATTTTCTTTTGGATTCTCACCCAGTAATTTGATACTTCCTTTTGAACTTGAATAATTCAGGTTCATGCAAGCGCTTCCGGCCAAAAAACGACTTCACTTTAGGGCTCGAATTCGAGGTCTCTGGCTAAAGATTTTAGCATACTTATCACTCCATCACCATTTTTGATTGTATTCACTAATAGACTCAATATCCTATTAGTACTACTTAGAGAGTAAATATTTTTCCTAATCATAGTTTTCAAATATTTTTAAACATACATTTAGCATAAGAACTATAGTAATTTATACATAATGCATTTAAGTAGTTTCTGGACAAGTAAATTTTGTTCAAAAAGTTGAAGAACTAATAACTGAATTGAATCCCTCTTACTCCAAATTTCACATTCATTTTGAGTGGATGGAGTAATTTAGTAATAACTTTTTTTCTCATTAAATAGAGCACTAATATACATATTAATAACAACCAATCAATAAAAGGAAGTGCATTATAAGTGTACTTTTTTGCACACAACCATGAAGAATATATACATAGATTAGAAATTATCCGTACAAGTGTCAACGTCATTTTGTATGTCATTGTCTCAAAACACCATGTGTGTCATGTGACAAATGCAAAAATTATCAGAAACTAATCGAAACAGAACAGTGAATTAGAATGATCCTTGTTAATGTCGTTTTAGGTTAATATTCCAATTTTAGCAACAAAATGGACTACCCATTCGATAGTGTTCTCTAAAACTGGTAGCATCTACTTTTTCTCCCTACTGCTAGCATTAAATTCCATTATCTTGATTTGTTTATTTGACGGCTAACTTGAGTAATTTATTTCGACAATGAATTTGGGAGGTGGCTGAATTATTTTTGAAAAATAACTTTGGCCCTCAGTTAATGGAAATTTTGACAGTATGATTTTCATGTTGAAAATT